ACCCCAGTGAAGTAATTTTTAGATACAAAAGGCATCTTTAGAGTGTGTTTCTTGACCAGACTGACATGAAGTGAAATTTCCTTTAAACAAGGTTAAGAACGCTTGCATGCCCCTATTTTTGGAATGTGGAAAAACAGATTCCAGCCTTCCAGCTGGCATTATTGACTTGAAAACTTATTTTCTTTTAGCAGAGTGGTAATTTGATGTCATAAACCACTTCGGGTTAGTGTCATAGTTGAATTGCAGGGAAAGAAGTGCAGTGAACTCTCTTGTACTTCTGTTGCATGTATTGTAATGGATTAGGTATTTCAATCAAGAAGAGATTTTTGTCCTGATTTTTGTAATAATAATTAGGTGAAGGGTTGTAATTCTTTGATGCACCTGATGAAATAGGAGGACAATAAAAATTTAAGGTTGCAATAGGAACTTTTAATTCTGTGTGTGGACTCATACCATTGGCTTTGTAATTTACATGAACCCACAGATGAAGGAGCAAAGTTATGAGCAGAACTCTCCATTCTTCCTTTTAAATGAACATTCTCTGGAAATGAACTTTCAAGTGAGAAACTTAATATATGGGTAGTTCAGTTAACGTTAAAATACTGACTTCTAAAATACTATAAATACTGAACGCCAAATGCTGATCCTTGGTAGCTGTTCTTCTTTCTTAGAATTTTCATTGATGCTTCATCAGCTCATTAGGGAAATAAAATCAGATGTGTTCCAGCCTTGCATTATAACTTGTGCTGATGGAAATCAGGATGTCAAGATGTGGTGATAAATGAGCTTATGAAACGCATAGTAAAAAAGTAAACGGTTTTTGCTGGCATTTGTGTAGAAATACTTAGTTTTACTTCTTACTGCTTTCTTGGGAAAGAACTGTCACGGTTGAAGACTCAGTTCCAGCCCTTTGTGAAGCTGCCGGAAGACAAGCAAAGAGTTTTATATAAAACCCTTTGTGAACTCTTGCTCCGTGAAGAAATGGTAACTGCCCTGGAGGACGTGGTAAGATGAAGACACTTTTGCTTGCTTCCTAAAAGTAATTTCAGAACAGAGCTAGCGTTCTCTTTTACTTGAACTTTCCTCTTTTCAAGAAGTTTTTCTTATTCTTTTGCTTCCAGTTAGATGATATCTGCACAGGAGACAAGCCAGATCTGAAGGAGTTAGAACCTGCACAACAGCGAGACCTCATTGACTTCTTGCGGCTCTTAGGGTGCAGTTTACAGAGTGAGCTGTCGTTACAGGAATATCAGCCTCAGGATGAAGAACTCTTCTCAGCTGCTCACCTCCTCATCAGTGCTATCTCTGGTATGTTGTGAATGAAGAGAAGAGCCCTTTATTTTCCTTCTAGAAGCTCCCTCTCTGTTAAAGCGTTTATGGCTCTTTTTGAGCAGTTGGTGAGCTGAGTGAACGTAATTTGTTCTGTTTGGTTTTATGAGTTTGGTATACCATGCATTCCTGGCTGTGAATTAAATTCAGCCCTTGATCACTGACAGATTTTGCTTGCAACGTACACGCTCCCCCAGGATTGCTCAACTCTCCTTTCTGCTGAGTGTGGGCATTTCCAGTTTGGCAAGCTAATTTCTGTTCTTAGTGCATACCAGAGTTCTTCCCGCCTAAATGCTGAGAATTACAAATTAGGAGTTGTCTTCTGTGTTAGCAGTGTGTATTGTTGAGGCGCAAGCTATATTTAGCAAAAATGAATTTAACATAGAGGCACTGCACTTCGAGGGTTGTTTTGCAGCTGCTGCAAAAGGAGATTAAACATAAATGTCAAACAAATGCCATCCTCACAATCTAGTTGGCACCACAGTGTTAATTAAAAGCTACCTGCAAAGTCCGAGACAGACTTCCCTGGCTTTTTCTCCTCTCTCTCATATATAAAGAATTTCCTGACATTAAGATAACGAAGGCAAGTCCAGTGTGGTATTAGTTAGATGTGGTACTGTGCAGCAAAATGTCAGTGTGCGTCCATATACACGCGGTACCCAGGTAGGAAAGCTTAACTCATTTGTGGAGACAGAAGAGAAATAGAAAACAGAAACCTGCTGATGTGGTAACGCTTGTCAGATGCTATTAACAGCGGGGCGCAGTTAATTGAGTGTGTTGCATTATCACCTGGCTTTGGACATAATGCCTGCTGCTAATGTCCAGGCGTAAATGTAGCTGGATCAAGAATCAAAAGCTGTTTTGTGCCTGTTGATTCTATTAAGAATTACAGCCTTTGAGTCACAGAGTTGAAGGGCACCACAGGGATCATTTACTCGGTCTCCCTGCCCCAGTGCAGCCTCAGCTGTGTCATTCCTCTCAAATTGTGTTTTTGCTGAAGTCAGCATCTCATATAGATTTTGAGAGCGGAGGTTCTCATTTTATTCAAGGCCTAAATCATTCATCCAGCCTGCCAACTCAGAGTGAAAGACTGGGCAGACACTTAGGGAGGAGACAAGAATGATGGGGAGGAAATCCCCTTTCCTACAAGCTGCCTTTTCTCAGGGGCAGGGTAGTCAGCGTGGGGCTTGTACCCATCGCCCATCCCATTTTATTCTGTACTCTTCTGGGTAGCAGGCAGGAGAGGCCTGGATCAGCTTCTTCCAAATGTCCAACAGAGCACTTGTGACGTCTGTCCTCAGCATCGAATCGCTCTGGTCTGCAGCACCCATTTCACAAGGTGCTGCACCTGCGTGTGAGCCTCAAAAAATGCAGCGTGTCTGTCTTTCCTCAGCAGGAGAACCCCTTAACAGAGCTCACTGTTAAGATTAAGTCCCCCTCCCAGCAGCCAGCCCCGTGCAGTGTTCACTGGAAACATGATCTTTCCCTTTTAATGTTTCCTTCACAGAGCTGTCTGATTACACTCTTGTCCTGCTGCGTGCCTGCTGTGATCTTCAGGTTGTTCCGGCATTGTGTTGTTTGGTGAGTAATCAAAACGTGGCCGTGTAGCGTGTGGGCCCCAGCAGCAGTAATGACTGTGTTCTCTGCCTTACTGTGTTTCTCACCCAATAAAGAAGATGTCAAGCTCCAGTGCGAATTTCAGCTGTAGGCATTGCTTAGGCAAGGTCAGAGTCTGACAGTGGCAAACGATGCAGGTAGTTTATTGCTGGTGGATACCTAACTTCTAAACAGTTTCTGAATTTGGGACATTCCGTGGGCTGTGAGCAAAAGAAAATCGTAATTTAGGCTCAAATTTTAATTTACTCATAGTCTCACTAGCCCATTTTGAAGTCTCAGTAATCACCTGCCCTGGGGAAACAGACATTTCAGTTTGATAGCAGCAGTGCTGGGGCGTTGGCAAATTCTGAAGTTCCAAAATTCTTGAGGCCATTCATTAAAACTGCTGAAGGAACGGGGCAGGGCTGCCGTTCCCCATGAACTTTTTTTTAAGCTTGCTGACAAAAATAATAGTAAAAACCTTGCCATATGTAAGGGCAAGGGGAATGCTGTTTGCTCAGAGTAGGAGTGAGAATTAAGTGTGATCTGCAGTGAGAGAAGTTGGACTGGGCAAAAGGATGTGTTAGAAGAGATGTTTCTTCTTAAAAGGTGCCATGGATAAGCACGTCGTACTTGACAAGGCTAATAGTAAAGGGAATCTTGCACTTCTGCTGCTGCCTTGAAAGCTCTCCGGTGGTTCTGTAAGAAGGAACTGAGCTACGCGATGGCAGGAACAGCACTGGTTGGAAAACCTTTTTAATGTCTTTGTCTTTTGCTCTCTCTCATAAATACAGCCTAACATCGCTTCAGCCGATGGCAGCTTGGCGCCAAGCAATCCTTTGGTGGCTACTCTCACTGACAGAGGAAGATTTGATGTCGTGCAAAGGCTGTTTGCTTCATCAAACATTAATTTGGAAATGACAGAGTCTTCTGTAAAAGCTGTAACTATGAAAGAACCTAGATTCTTCCCGCTTGTTCTTTATGTTGCCTTGTATGGACTTTATGCTTTAGGTGGGAATGTATAGGAGCTTTGCTGAGTCTTCCGTTACTGCTCTCACTTGTTGTTTCTTCTGTAGCTCTGCAGTGTAGTGTTGGTGTGTTTGAGCTAGCAGCAGAGCCACTGGGTTGAGTACTTGTGGCCGTCCAGGCAGGGGTTGTGGAGGTCAGGGTGGACGCTGCACGCCCGGGGTGAGCACTCTGCACTGCCATCGGGTGTGCTACTGCTCTGCCCTGGGAAATACGTAAATAAGGGATGAAGGGCAGGAAGAAAAAAAAAGACAAGCCTGGAACAGAAATGGAACATAGCAGTAGAAGCCTGATCGTTGGCATTGATATGCGTGGGAGAAACCTGCGAGGTACAAACTGCTTTTTGTAAGCAAGCAAGCAAGCAGGCTGAGGCAATCCAGGGTTCTGTAGCGCAGTAATGGGTTTGCTCGTTTAAGATGTGCAGAATGCCTTCACTCTGGAGCAAGTGGAAGGGAGGGCTCTCAAAGAGGTACTTGGTTAGGTTTTCTTTTATTAAAGTGTAGTTTGGCTTTACAGATGTGAACTGCACACTGCAGGAAATAAAAACCCCTCTTTTTCTAAAACTAAGACTACCTTAGGCATTTATTCCTCTGTACAGCATTCCTGTTTTCTGGAAAGTTTTTACTCACCTTAACAAGTTTCAGCTGTTTAAATTGCATTCTGAACTTTCTCTTTGAGGTACGATGATGCCTTTTGATGTGAGCCCATGAAATGTGCTTGCTGCACTCCACAAAAATGATCACTGTACCCATACAACATTTTAAGTGCGGATGTTTTGGTTGTTTCTTTGACAAACCAAGTGGTAGGAAAGCACTTTGTGCTTTGAACTATTTTGCCTTTTTTTTTTTTTTTTTATCATGTGTTTTTGTAATCATGTGGATGGGACAGAAACACAGCAGAGATCACTGTAAGTAGGGGCATGGGAAGATGATGTTCCAGGTAAGTGGAGTATAGGTGCTTTCAGATAAGGTTGTGAGATGGCTGCCAGGCCAGCAAGCAGGCACCTCTGGGGGTGGGGGGGTAGGGAGGGGATCAGTAACCAGGCCCTGCAGGGGGTAGGAGTCTTGGGTTCAGTTTTATGCTCAGTTCCCACATGGTCTTTAACGCTGATGTCGGTTGAGCTTTCCCTGAGGAAGTGGACTTTGCAGAAAAGTGCCGTGGTACCTTTCCATACCCTGAGGGCGCAGGATGGTCTTGCACCTGGAGCTGTTGGCATTTCTGTGTCTCGTCTGTTAAAGGAAGCTGGTGGTGTTGCCTGAGCCTTGCACTGGTGTGTATGGAAATGTCCTTTAGGAGGGTGGAAGCATGTTACTCTGCTGCTGGGAGCGGTGCATGTTTGTAAATGGGAAAGTCTTTTTTTTTGCCAATCCACTCCTCAAAAGTTGCCTCTGTAACTCACTAATTTATCACAACTTTCTATTAAATGTTATGTCAAAATGACAGAATAACTTATAACCTCATGCCTGTAATTTCCATTGTTCTTTTCTGGGGGGATTTCAGTCATTCCCTTGGCCTTGAAAGACGGTGCAGACAGATGGGGAGTGGGTATGTGGGCATCCACGCAGTGCCACTCTCCACGTGCTCTGGTCTTCCTTGCAGGGTTTTTGCGTGCGCTGTAGTGCGGAACGGCTTTCAGGGTGTGCATGCTGTGTCAGAGATGTAGGAGAGGGGATTTGTTTAAAGGGGGGTGGGGGAACCCAACAAACCCTAGCTGTTCTAGAGAAATATTATTAAGAAAAGAAAAGGTTTTGTTTGTTCCCTGCTATTTTGCTTTCAGATGTAGGTCAGTCCTTTGCTTCAGCTAAATCCGCTGGACAGGGTGAGGCTGAGGAGGGTGAAGGTTGCTGGCAGAGCCAAGGCGAGGGCACGGCAGTGCTCATGGTACTGGGGAGCCCTCGCGCAGCTTCGCAACTTGACTGCCAGTAGCTACAGCCGAGGAGGACGAAGGCATTGCACCCTGTCACAGGCGGGCTTGCCGCCGCTCCCTGCTGGGCATGGAGAGTGCTTGGGTCTCTTGGCCCCTCGCCTCATCTGCTGCCATGCTTTTAGGATTGATCAGTTTGTCCGCAGCAGCCGCTGGTTGCATTTTCAGTCTTGGCTTTGTCCTTTTTGCGCGTTCTTTGTGGAGGGGTTGCCCAGCTTTCCTCCACTGGCAGCACTTTGGTGACCGCAGAAGCGCCTCTCGACCAGCAGGCAGCTTAGGATGGCCTTTTTAGAACTGAGCGAGCAGCACAGCCAGAGAAAAAAAAGGAACGCTAAGGCAGTTGATATGTTCATCATTTTCCCTCCAGTTCCTCCCTCCACAGTCTTGAAAGCAGGAGCCTTATGCACATTAATATTAAAAATAGCTCATGCTGGGGTACGAAGATCCAAGGGAGCAGCAGAAGCAACGTGTTTCACTCCAAGTAACTCTTGTCCTGCCCTTCCCTGAGCTAAATGAGGATGGCCTCTGCAGGGACCCGGCCTAAGCTGCACTGATCCAAATTAATTCAGAATCCGCTTCAGAAGGGCTGGGTGTGCATCCACTACATCGTGGATAAAACAGCAGCTTCTTGCGGTAGGCTGGCCTCACGCTTTTTCAAGGTTAGACGGGGTCTTGCCTAGAGAACGGAGGTGGTAAAAGGGCTGTAGGGTCCTTCGAGAAGGTTGGAGCCCGTCTCATGAATGGTTTGGTTTCACACCCTGACTTCCCGTGCCAAAATGTTGCTTCCCATTGCTATACTTCTGCAGTCCCAGGGAGGAAGAGGGGAGAGAAACCACACCTTTGCAATTCGGTATCTGATCAGGCCGAGGGGAGAGGAGGTCAGCAGCCTCTTTTCGAAGGGCATGTGCAGAGGCCAGCAGGAACCAGCACTCGCCTGATACAAGCTGCAGTCTGGAGTCCCAGGGCTTTTGTACACTAATTACAGTGCGGGCCCAGGAAACCGACTCCCTTAATGCTGCAGCGCTCAGAAGGCAAGGAGCCCAAATTCAGCAGTGACATTTACGGGACAAGTCGAAGAGGCCCCAAGAGCTCTATACATTGAACAGGGGTTGGGCGCCTTCAGGAATGTCAAGCGGAATACGACCCACCAAAATGTTGCTTTTCTGAACCCTGAGCCCTAAATGAGGCCCAAAGGTGCTGCGCCGGCAGTGCCCAGGTCCGCGGGAAGCCTGCTACGCTGACCAGACCAAAGCAGCGCACCGCCCCCAAAGCCCAGCCTGTGCAGCCTCAGAGTTGGTGCCAGAGCTAACACCTCAGTGTGCGAGCAGGAGATACTTGGCATGTTAATGTGGAGCCCATTTTCACCAGTAAAAGATTAGGTAAAGCCAAAAGGCAGATGTGCACAGATTGCTTCTCGCTAGCTTCCTTATTTGGCTAAAATTCAGAGTATGACACCCCGCCCTCTCCAAAAATCAGAAAAAAGTAATTACATTTTTTCAATATTAAATCTTTATTATATACAAAAATATTTTGTTGGGAATTAACAGAATTTCACAATTTGTACATTAACATTTTTATGTTTGGCTGTGTTTACTGTGAAAATATTAGCTGTGAAAAAGACAATGGGGGTTTTAGAAAACAAGTCACGATTTAAAAATGTCCTATGTGTTAGCTGACTTCAGCGATATGAAGTCAGAATGCTAACAAGTCCCATCTCCTAGGCCTGCTCTGCAGTGTTGTATTCAAACAACAGGTACTCAATCACCTTCAGGTTCGCATTAGAAGGTTTAGCTAGCAGTTAAGATCCTTTCGGTAGGATGTTTTCAGCTAAAGAAAGTATTTTTTTTACAGGAGAGCAGTTTTTAAAGTTTTACAAGTGTCAAATCCAGTTTAATTTCATACGCTGTAGAAGGAAAGGAAATAAAAAAAACCCATGAGAGCTTCCAACAGACAAAACCAGTTGTGGGAACAAGCAAGGTAAGGAAATGCATGGTGACACATTTCTAATACACATTTAAATCCAACCACTGCAGCAAGATTTTGCAGTTCTCGGCCCAGTTTGGGGTGGGAGAGCGGCAAAACTGTCTTGCATTTTACAGCCTATGGAAGCGGTGCTGTTGACTTGGCTCTACACGGTGATGCTAGGCAGGAGGTCAGCAACAGAAACGTTACGTGGGGTTTTGGAAGAGGTGTTACTGTGTTCTAGGGAAATGTTGGCTACTCGGGGAGTAACGCTTGGCTCGGCCGTGAGGCCAGCCAGCCTTGCGTGGGCAAGCATTAGCACAGAGCTAACGATGCTAAAAGGGAAAGGATAAACGGCAGGAAGCGTCCCCAGGCCTACTTTTAACTACGCCCGCCTGGCAGGTTGGTGGGTGTTCCACACCCAACCACCGCCTTGGCAGCGAAAGGAACTCCGTACCCAGCTGGCATGAGAAAGGGTTAAAAACATCCGAGAACAAAATTCACATTTGCTTTAAGTGTGATTTATTCTATAAAATACAAATATTGCTGAGACCCTGCTTAAAAAAAAAAAATTCTATTTGGAGGTGAAACGGCTCAACAGCCTTTGCCAAGCTGGAGTTTGTGTTTAAGCCTGTACAGGTAAATCCCAGCTGAACTGAGACTTCAGCAGTTTAACGTGTGACGGTTTGTGGGACGGCACCCCCCCCCAGCAGATGCTGTCCGAATTACTTGGAGTACTCACCCCTAAGGTTTATTTATATATTTATTTGGGTGTGCGCGAACATGAGCACACTTCTAATATGTTTGGAAGCCAAAGCTGCCTCTGAAAATTGGTTATTTTACAAGTGTTTTAACTTTTTTTTTTTTTTTAATCTGCCTTGGGTCTGAGACAGTAAATTATACCAGCCTTAAACAGCGATGCCCATATTGACCACTCATTCCTCTACAAGACGCAAGTTGAGAATCCCAGACAACACCCATCAGTAAGCTTGTTAAAAATACCTGAAAACCAAGAAGGGTGTGCCAAAAAAAAAAATGCAGGGGGGGAAAAAAAAGAAATTGGGCCACCAGAGAAAGCTGATGAAAGTGCCCTTAGCTACAGCCATCCCCTCGGTGGCCCAGGGGGGGTTTTGTGGCGGGGGGGGGGGGGGGGGGGGGTGTCTTTGGGATCTGCTGACAGCCTGCAAGGCTTTGGGTCCAAGAGCCACCACCTGCGCATCGCTAGATCGATTCCTCACCGCTTCTGCAGATGTAGCATCATGAAGTTTGGCGGTAGTGGTACGGTAACGCTTCAGAATTTGGGTGAGGCGGGAAACCCTACGTGAAGCAAACAGCCCATGTACCTTTGCGCAACGGATGTGACAGCCTTCCACCTGTAGTTGGTCCTAAAGCTGTACCTACAGGCACAACGGGTGATGGGGAATCAAGCTACCGCGGCAGGCATTACAGCTGTACTGCGGAACAGCATCTGCCTCAGGGTTCGGTCTGCCCGAAGCAAGATCGACAAAGACTGGATGGGAAACCAAGGAACAGGTAAAGGAAGTTTGAATTTGTTTGTGTGCACAACGCTGGCTCATGCGTAAAGACAGGAATCGCCGCTCCTGATGCCTGGAGTTGTCTTTACTGGACCCTTCTCCCTGGTCTGGTCCGTAAGCATGGCAGAGAGGCAAGCTTGGCTCCCAAGGGGACCTAGCCAGGAATTTGTGTGTTTAAAAGGGAACAAAAAGTTTCCTATTTCACTCTCTTCAAAACAAGCACAAACCAGATGACTTCCTGCACACCGAGCTGCAGGCAGTTTGCACTGCGAGTCAAGTCATTCTGGTATGATTTTAGAAGATGCAATGAGTTAAATTGTACAGAGGACTGGGAAAAAAAGCATCACATTTTGAGCCTCTGCAAGATGTGACAGTTCTTACATAAACGCAGAGTCAGAAGTGGTGAGCTGATCTGCCCGCCTGCTCCACAAAGCTTGGTCCAGCTAACTACACACAGAGCTGAGAACACAGCCCAAGTTATGGATGCTGCGTTGGTTATAAATTCGATATCCCTTGCTCATGTCAGTCTTTGTTCCAATTTTACCTTCAGTTTACATTTGCAGAATATACACTTTTATATTTCATATTTGCATTTTGAAAGACCTTTATAAATCTACGCAAGGTGACACATCCTGTTACAGTTATCCCACTAAACTCCACAGGACTGCCTCTCGTCACACCATGTAGAACCTAAAGCAGACCAGCTAGCCTAACACCGTTAGAGACAGCAAGGTAATCGCTTGGGTACACGCGCACCAAGGTATTTACATTGAAGATGAGACTGGTGCACACTTAAGGGAATTTTTGGTGCATTTAAGGAAATAACTTATGGGTCTTGGCAAACTGGCTGTACTTTTATGTCTAACTTTTCATTCACAGGGCAACTACAGTGTTTCTTCTATAAGTCTCTATATGTACAGAATTTTACAGCACCTCATGCACTGTCCAAAACAGATAGAAATTACAGATAAATATAGAATTTTTAGATTGAAATATCTGTATATTTAGAAAAATATGCATTAGTAAACACAATAAACCAGGTAGAGAAGTGTACCAGTTCTTGAGTCTCACATGCAGGTACAGTTCTGGATTAAGTCATGGTAGCTTAGTAATGTGATAGCAGACGTGAGCATTTTTTTGTTTTACCATCCACATACATACATATACACAGACAACTATTTGATAATTTACTTTTCTAAACTACTTAAATATTTATCTTGTGATACATACCACATATCTTAAACATTTAGCAGCATCTTCACCTCGCTCAGACACACCTATTGTTATCATTAACAGCCAACGTAAAAGGTTTTCCTCTTAGTGTCTGGAAAATGAATGTGTAGTACAGGATGAGAGATGTGAAATCCTAGTTATTTTTTTTAACTCCCCCAAACTCCTTCAAACAGCTGTTATGTGAAATACTTTCACTTGCTCAAAACTAACCCTTCATAGTGTCTTTCTCCCCTAATTGCACAAGGTGGAGGTCTCTATCCAACATCTGACCTGGCACACCCTGACCAGGAGAGACTCTCACGGCTAGGTGTGACTGAAATGACACCATCGTGCTAAGAACCTCCGAGAATGCTCTTTTTAAAAAAAAAAAGTAATTATCACTCTCATTCTAGTCATCCTACCAGGTAGTGACAAACTAAGCAGAATATCTGGTGAAAATCTGATTTTCCTGAAAACCAAACCCCACTGCCACAAAAGCAACCCACCATCGTGTCATCCATCGTGTCCCGTCCCGTTCCCCCCCCCCATGATACAGCTGCCAGTCTCAACTCTCCATGTTGAAGATTGAATGAATAGATGCAAGGAGTATGGTGGTTGGGTTTGTTGTTGGGTGTTTTTTCCCCCCTTACAACCTGCCCATGGACATCCACTTAAAACCCGCTGCTGCTTTGACACGATCGCTGCTCACAACCTAAGCACGCCAGCTTCTCTTTTTGCTTCAGAATTGCACTTCATTAACACCACCCAATCATCGGCCACTAGGCCCCACTGTGCTGACTGCTTGATTTAAAACCACTACATGAGCCTGCAGCGAAAGCTGAAGCTTCAGGCTTTCAAATGCATGGCTATTTGGAGATTGCTAACTAGGGAGGCTCTTTTGACAGTGTTCTCTCTGGGATGGGAAGAGAAGGAACAGAGGGGTTTTCCTGACTAAACCTTGGTGCCCATCTTCCATGCGTTTCATTTGGTTAAGTAAACTTACGGGGAAAAAAAGATGGAAAGAAGTGTTATCCGCGATATAAAGGACTATCGTGTGGAAACTGAAGAATCTTCTCATCCCATTCATTAGGGAAGAGTGAGCTCAGCCCACTTTTGGCATGACAAGTCAAGTATTTCCTAACTCCTAATGAAAAGGCATCATCATACCTGTCCAGATAGCACATCTTATTTACAGCATATGTAGGTCTCCTATTACACAGTATACAAGCACAGCTTAGTCATGTTCAGCATATAGTGCCAACAGCAAATCGTTAAAATAGCCAAGCGATGGCTCTGCTGCCATTGCTGCTACATACAACACTTGATCCGTTTCTCAAAGCAGCCTCTGAGCGACAGGATCGCTGAACTTGTCTTCTGGGAAAGGAAAATAAAACTCTCGTGCTGGTGCCCCGTTTAAAAGCTCTGCCCAACTTAAAGCAAAGCCAGAGAACACACATCCTGAAAAGCAGAAGAACGAAACAAAGTAGTGGTACAAATTTTCCTTAGAGAATTTCAGATTTCCTCTAAAAGGCTGACACCTCGGTATCGACAGCCACAATACCTGTGCTATACACAGTTTCCACTAACGCTTTCCACATACCCTGGGATCTCAGCCCCCCCATGCCCCTTTCCCCCCCCAACAACCAGCTTTACAGGCTCTGTAACAATCACCTGTAGCATACTGGTGCTTTGAGGGTTTTTGAGACTTACGCTTTTCCTACACTGCATCTCGTCCATTCTTCTTTTCCTTGTGCACATAAAAGTCCTTAAGAGCCCCAGGAAGCAATACCGGTTTACAGTGTCAAAGCCTCTTTTCCTTCAGAAACAGTTCTGAGGAAGTTGCCTTTTGATAGCATTCTGTGCCACACTTTGGTCTTGAAAAAGAATTCAGAAGCCAGGTGCCTGTCACCAGATGGAAGAGAAATTAAACAAATGGATGACTTCAGTGTAGACACCCAGCCTGGTGAGTGATGGTGAATGTCCCTATCTACAACAGCTGACATTGCAATATAAAATAAGGTCAGAAAAAGAGCCAGTCTTAGCGACCAGCTATATTTTCATTTTGTTCTTGCTAAGCGGAAATTTACATCAGCATAAGTTTTGATCAATGAACCTGAACCTAATAGGAATTGTATCAATGAGCCCACCGAGGGGAGGACCGTCACTGAACAAAAGGAAAGATGTTGTAAAACAAAAGGGTATAAAGAACGTTGCTTTTTAGCAGTAGGCTTCCAATTCACAAGCTACCTAATGAAAAATGCAATTAAAAACAATGTAACAAAAAGCACAGAAGTTCCATTACAACACACTCATATAAAAATACAGCAGTTGATCACACACAAATATTCAAAAAGATAATATAGAACCCAGCTAGATATCACAAAAAATTAAGCCACAGATCGCTATACAAATACCAAACAACGTCATAAGAAAAGAAAATGCCTTTTTTTTTTTTTTTTTTTTTTTTTTAAAGCAATGTGTTTTCACAAGTGTGAATAAATAGTCCTAAACATTAAGTGTCACTCTACAAGGCTCCACGTTCTCTCTCCGGCTTCTTCACCATTATTCAAATTGCACTGAATTACCTTGCGTACAATCTTCCTAACGTCAGTACTTCAACCGTAATGGGCTAACAGGGTGGCTCCCAGGAACAGCCTTATAAGCAGCTCGCAAGGTTTTGCTTTATGTTACTCAAGAGACACGTGTAAGGAAACCTACACAACAGTTGTCTAAATCAAGAGACAGCAAGAATTTGTGAAACATCAAGAATGCACCAAGTTTAAGCCAAGAGAAGCTGGAGCAATGGAGCTGTGTGTTGGTTGCTGCTTTTAATATTTAAAATTCTGCTCCCATGAAATTGGTTTTTAAGGAAGAAAAAAAACAAAACGAAATTAGTGTTCTTTTCTAATAAGAGCTATAGACCCTAGTAAGAGCTATAGACCCTAATAAGAGCTATAGACTTTTAACCGGTTAAACACTGACGTTGACAAGTTTTACAAAAATTGTTTCAAGTATCCTTTTTTTAATCACAGTGAAAATGTAAGACCGAGATGTAAATGTTGAAGTGAATGACTGAAAGTTGCTTAGATGAAAAAGGCAAAGGTACTAAAGCAAAACATATAAAAATGCTTAAACGCATTTCCTTCGTGTGATATGAATAGAAAGGTTATCTGTAAAAAGTTAGAAAAATTAAAATAAATTACATATTTAAGTACACTTCCCCTTCAACATTTTTATAAAAATTCAGAATAGTGTACTTTTGAATATACACAGAGTAAAAATGCACAGGTGCCATAGGTTATTGTCGCTATCTACACAACGTCACGTTAGCATATTGGCTGCTGTTGGTTTTCTTTGTTACTTAAGCTCCTCTCGAGGAATCTCAATATACCCAGCTAATGGGGACCCACTGTGGTTCCAGCCTCAGTCTCTCGATCGCAGCCTGTAGCTTCTCGAAGGCTTTGTCCAGGTTGTCATTTACAATGGTCAGATCAAAGTAGTGGTTGTACGCTCTCTGGATCCGTGCGCTTTCATCCACTGTTTTTTTCAAATCGGTGTCCTGTTGAGGAGGTTTTAAAGATTACTGAGAACGTAAGACCTGGCAAGCCCTTATAAAGACAGGAGCATCCCTTTGTTACATACTGCAACTGATGAGTTAAAGCTACATACTAAATATATTTAAAAAAATAATGAAAGTTTTTGTCTATAGTAAATCCACACAGAACTTAAGCTAAAATGCATTGAAAGGGCTGAAAATGTCATGAGCCGTGCCAATAATGTTAAATATGGCAAGAAAAGAAAGCCAATACGAGCACACGGACTTGGGCTGCTGTGCACAACGGGCAGTGAAGCATTTTGTACGTGCAACTGGCGATCCAATCAGATCAAATTAATGCTTTAGGAATGACTGAGTCAATCAGTTATGTAAATGTAGTTGTGCCTTTTTTTATTTCCACAAAAAGCACCAAAGAATCCAAGAATTTAAATTAGGAAGAAATGAAAGACAATGAAAGATACATTTCTGGTAGAATAAAGCTCTAGAATACCTTATTGCTTTTAGAGGCTACACTTCAGCCTTGCTCACCTGACATCACTTCCTCATTTATAAACTACTGCTGCATTATTTCAGTTCTGACATGAGCTGCAAAATATGCAGGAAATTTATATTCCTTCATGAAGTGCTACCACTGAGCATTTTTTTTATGTTTCATTAGTTTAGTTCTACATCCTTAGAAAAATTCCTCTCCATTTTTGCACAAAAGCAATTTTTTTGTAAGCTGTTACGAGATTTGTCCCCTTGACAATATTTATTTTAATATTTTCAAGTCCTGATACAGTTGTAAATACAAAAGCCAAGATGAAAAAGTAAGTTTGTGAATAGCCTTTCCTTTACAGTAAATGAAGGAGACAAACAAATGCAGCACCATGAGGTGCAATGGAGTGGCTTAGGATGCTAGAAGTAATGTAGACAAACCCACTAGCAAGCAGAACAAAATACTTTAAATTACATTTGGTTTTCATTTGTTCAGGAAGTACAAGAATATGAAATGGGAAATCATACTCTATGTATACATGTGCACAGGTATGATTTAGAATCCATACAGATATATAAATGTGTATTTTAAATTTAACTGTCCTCTTTATTATTCATAAGGACAAGTAAAACAAAGGCAAGGATGTCCCTTAGGGAATCAAATATTAGGCAGTGCAGGAAATTATTTTTATACTTGTCTGGACAGTTTTAACCTTGCCTTCTTGCACAGGCATCACAAAATTCGGGGTTCATTTGAGGCGGGAAAGGCAGAGCACCCAGAGAGACACCAGAATCTATAACCAGAATCCATAACTAGGGCTGGACAGTCTCAAGTTAAGAGAATGGGATCTCACAGGTTTGAAAAAAAACCAAACCAAACCAACAAAAGACTAAAAATCCCATGTTCATTCAGTGGAATTTAACCTATCTCTCAATGTTACTGCTTTGAATGCCCCGTTAGCATTCTACACGTTATTGCTACTATCTAAGCACTACGGTGAGTTGTCAGCAAACCGTGGCTTTTCTCAGATGGGGCAGCTGGGCTGCTGAACACAGAGGACAGTTTCCCTAACTGCTCAGTCTGGCTTTTTTTGCTCTGGTCCTGCAGCTGGGAAAATTCATGCCCATACACAGAGTATTTATAATTTGCTGCACTGGGGGAAGCATGTCTCATTTCCCTCTGCTACACACTGTGCTTCAAAAAAGGAGAGAAGATCTAATGAATAAAATGTGCCACTTCGCTTTATGTGACGAATCCAAGGAACTTGAGGGGAAGAGAAGCTATCCAACACGTCTTATTCTGGCAGCTCCCAGCCATTCTCAGCACAGCATGTGCTGCTGCAGCAGTGGAAACAAGGCCCAGTTGCATTCTGTTGTTGGTTGGGGTTGTTTTGTCTTGTTTTGTGGTTTGAGTTTTGGCGAGGAGTTTTTTGTGGGGTTTTTTGTTTGTTTGGTTGGTTGGTTGGGTTTTTTTGCACCCAGGATGCAATATCTTTCCCAAGGATTACAGATTCCATTTTAAAAGTACACCTGTATTATAAGACAAACCTGAACAAAACTTTCTGGGGAGAGAGATGGGGAAAGTGCAGGAAAGACATTTACAAAGAAGAACAATTCCCACCATCAGCTATCTACCATTTGCTGCAGATAATCAAAGGTGACACATCCCAAAGAACACATTACAAGTAATTTTTGTAATCAACACTTCTCTGTAAGAGGTCTATTTTTAAGAAAGAAGCAATCTGCCTTATACATAGTGTTTGATTAAGTTCTACTAAGTAATCAGCAAATGTCTTGCCTAACTTTTCTTAAGAGACATTACTTTCAGAACAAATTCTATCTAAAATTAAAGGTAAAAAAAAATAAAAATCTAAGAACAACCTGTTCAAAGCAAACTATATATGAAATCTGCTTACAGTGAGAAGTTTGGTTGTAATTCCAGCATCTACCACAGCTTTGTGCATAGCACGCAGTGTCTCTAACTCTGGAGCAGCAATAAACACTACATAGGGCATGAATTCTGAAGTCCTCAGTATTTTCAGGGCCTAGAAACAAAGAAAAAGAAAAACAACCAAAACACCCTAAGTTTAAGAATGACTCACCACATGTCCCCGTTACTTAAGGGGCACTGCAAAACTAGTCTGGTACAATGGGCAGAAACACGTAAGTGGAGATGCTTATTTCTACTTTAGAAACTCCTACCCTGCCTTTTGAAATGCTCAACATCCTTCTTTCTTTGGCTAAGCAGATTATTTACTACCCCTACACTTGCACTGTAACATAACAAATTATATACCTGTGGATTCACGTCCAAGATGCAGGTCCTTCCTGTCTGAACAACTTCAAGGATGGAATCAATTTTGGTGCCATAAAGGTTTCCTTCGTATTCTCCATGCTCTAAATATCTGCCAGCTTTAATATCCATCTCCATTTCAGCTCGTGACACAAATCTGTACGCTTGACCATCCTTTTCATCATCCCTTGGCTTTCGTGAAGTAACTAAACAAAAAATTTAAAATCTAAATTGAATGTTTTCTTTTTATAGTTGGAATGCAAATATGAGACTGGACTGCCTATTAAGCTAGGGAGAGTATACTACACATTAATATACAATTGTAATTATTCCATATGCAGAATAATTAATTATTCTAGTGTAAGTTTCAAAACTGAGCACAGCCCCTCCTGTTGCCTTTATTTCTATTCTTTCCTATATGTTGCTTACCCGCACATTTGCTCATTTCCTTTGTATTCCTCCTTCACACCATATGCAATACTCATTTGTGTCATCTTTTTAAATTACTCACTTAATAAATAAATTATTTCCAAGTGACTTGGAAATCACATGGAAATTTAACTCTCAAATGCCAAAGCTACTTCTGAAAATAACTGAGCACACATCGAAATCTGCCCCACGCCGCCCATCCTTTGCTCACCGTATTTGCCCTGTAATGCAGGGCAGAATTACCTCAGCTAGCTATAAAGAAAGTTAGCTTGAATACCAGAAGAAGCCCAGCCACTGTAGCAGCATCTTAGTGAGGGCCACCTAATGGCTGCTTTCCAGGGCAACTTACCCTTTAAAGCAAGGTAAATTCACTGCAGAGAGACTAAAGCCAATATTTAAGTAAAACATTAGCAACCATCTTGGGTATTGGCTACACTGTGCACTTCACACATCATTTAAGCAAGAAAGTGAAAATAAAATATCAAATTATTACTGACTGTGCTGTCCTATCACCATATTACCTGCCCACTACTTGCATTTAATTAGAGTTGAACTCCAGAATATATTAAACGTAACAGTGAATGGATCCCTTTGGTAATGCTTGTATCACCACTGGGTGCCCTATCACCACCTGGTGAGGAGAATAATGATGTAGCTAGGGTGGACTTCTCTGGTCTGCAGTCAAACAGGAGGGGGCAGTTAAAAAAAAAAAAAATCTTGTGACTGAGCACAGTAACTATCTGGAAGGAAGGCACAAAAACAATACTTCAGTAAGGGAGGAGGTTTTTTCTGAAGTTGGTAGGGAGAAAAAAAAAGAAAGATCATGGGCTTGAGGCTGGATGTATTAAAACATCAGATTCTCACGCAAACTTGGAGATCACAAACACTTCAGAT